TCCCCTCTCTTTCTTTTACTTTCGTTTTATTTTGTGAATTTTCTGAGTGAACTATTTTGAAAATACATTTGTATTTAAATTAAATATACATTGTATATTACTACGTGTACACAGCAAGTACATATTTCAATAATATTAGAGATTTTTTAGCGGATAAATAGATTTGTTATTTTAGACGTTTTTTGCGGATAAATAGATTTGTTATTTTAGACGGGATATTTTACGGGAATGCAAATTGTTGTTACCTATCGTTAATGTTATTGATAGGATTATTATAAATAGACAAATGTACTTTAAAACAAGAAAAATACAAATAAATAAGGAAGAGAAAAAAATCATTTTAAATAACTGTTTTAAAAGATAATAATCTTAGTAAATGTCATTTACCAAACACAACAATAAGAGTCGTAACACACCTAGGAAGTAGGAAGTTTTTCATAATAAAGTAGTAGAAAAAAAACTTTGTACAGCAAATAGACAAACTGTATAATTCTACGCTGTTGTATTATCTTATAAATTATATTACAATTCAGTTTTTACGAGTTTTACTTAATATTTTTATTTGCAATATTTGTTTTTCATCGACCTTTTTGTTTCTCATTTGTTCTTGTCACGTGTCACGAACTCTGACCTTTTTTTTTGCTGCTGCTGCAAAAAAATGAGTCCATGGAAATTAATTAAAATGACTCGTAAAGTAAATTTTGACTGTTCACCCTATGCAGAAATGTCCAAGCTAAATTACCAGCAACTAATTAAAGTGTTACATGTTTCATTTTGCTGCCATTTTCAAAGACAATGAAATGACATAACACCTTTAAAATCACGTGTTTGACGACAGCACGGTACTGTCAAAACAATTACCAGAAATACTTCAGTGCCAAGTGAGTCGCGAAATAAAATTTCCAAATAAAATGTATGGAAATATTTTAAGGGAGTCGCGTTTAATCCGTGTTCGTGGGTTTAAGTGGAGTGAGATATTCAGTTCACTAGTTAAAAAGTCAGTGAGTGTCGCGAGACATTTCACTAACGGATTATTGATTTACCTGGTGAAGTTGGATGAAGGTCTTTTTTTCGTCGTCTGCGGTGTTTCCTGTGGAGCTGCATCTGTAGAAAAACAATGGAGATAATTAAGACACAAATGCTCGTTTGTTTTTTTTTAAATAGCAACAATTAACGTTAATGGGAGCTGAAATAACACACACACAGCATCACCTTCACGTGAGTCTAATCCCGCCCTCCCCTTTTCTCTCTCTCTCTCTCCCTCTCTCTCTCTCTTCAGCATCGGATGCTGGAAGATTCCCTACCTGGGAAATCTGCCTACTAGGTCACTGATGCCACCTCCAAACTGCTCCAGTTTGTGTGCCACACTCACAGCATCAGCATCAGGATTACTCCCTGTGCACCTGCAGCTTCACCACACTGGGTCTGCAGCATGGTGGGGCTCCAGGGATGCTGCACACTCACCGTAATCCCTAATCCAAATCACTCAGCATCGGATGCACTTCTGTCTGATGCACGTTGTATAGTTGAAAGATTTCTGGCATGTTCTGCAACTGGGCTCTGGTGTCACCGAGTTACGTGGATTATTTTTATTTATTTTTTTTGCTTAATCTTTAAATGAATCGATACTGAGCTACAGAACTGGAATCATTCAGCATCTGAATCTCACTTCGTTTTGATTATAAAAGCCAAAACTGCATGAGGGACTTTTGTGAATGAGATCTAATTGCCTGTGTATTAGCTGAAGCTGCAGAACCCCCGCCCCCTCCTCAAAATGTTGAATAATCTGCGACCCTCACCCCCCACTCTCCCGCTTGTATTTACATATTATTAAAACTGTATTTTTAATAATAATAATACTTGATATTTTACAATTGAATAATCTGCGACCCCCACCCCCCACTCTCTCGCTTGTATTTACATATTATTATAACTGTATTTTAAATAATAATAATACTTGATATTTTACAAACCATATATCATATACTTTGAGAAAACTATTGAAAAATTCTAATTAGTTCTGAATCCGATCCAGATAAGCAGGCCTTGTTGAAGAACTGTGCTGACATACCGCATGTTTTAATCCCAGAAAGGCAGACTGTCGGGTTCATATACAATAATCTCATTGACCTCCTTTTTTTTTTTATCGTGACTTTCCTTTCTGTGTAGCAGTTACCGTGCGTGATCTGCTGTCACAGCAAACAGGCCCTGCGTTTTCCTTCCCATCCCAACGACGCTGCACCGCCCGAGGCCAGTCCAGCACCGGCACGGGCCGGTGTCACAGATCGAGTGGAGCGTCGTAATTGCAGCTAATAGAAACAACTATGTCCTGTCTGTAACACAGGAGTATGTTTTAATCCATTTTTGCAGGAAGAGTAGTGCAGCTGCAGTATGATTTCACGTTGTAGTTGGGATTAACAGAGCATAATCCAGGGGTCAGCATGACAGAGGAGACGAGAAAGGAGAAGTATCTATATGTATGGTCAAAGTGTCAAGACATTCAATTACTTATGTAATTCGAGGCATATGAAAGACGTAATCCCTAATTGTTGATTTGAGTATGTATATAGAGAGTGGTATAATCCCGGATTATCACGAAATAAATCCAACACCTTCATAAAGACCTGGCTGACCAGCATGTGAAAAGTCACTGGACCAGAGACTCATAACTCATATATCTGCTTCACTCCGTCATTTTCGGGTTATAACAGATGATATTGGACACATGCAAAAGTCCTGGTTAAGATAAGTGAAACTATACAGACACTAATCTGTGCTGCTGCTGCGCACAAATAATGCTGAGGCTGTGATCTCACGTGTGTGTTACTGCTGCTGCTGCTGCTGCTGCTCATTAGTCATTAATTTAATATCATCTGACATAAGAAGTAGAGAATATGTGTTAAATCCTAATTAATTAACTCAAATGTTTCTAAAAATGGTTATTAAACACATGCACAATAGCAGCACGCTGCAGCCCAAACGCGCCAGTCTCTCTCTCTCTCACTCTCTCGCTCTTCACTAAAGCTCTAATCTCTGTACTCCTGCAGATTATCTGATCTAAAACCCGACCGTCCTGCATAATCTAAACATAATCTCTCATATCACAAATTCAAAAGACAGATTTCTTACTGTTTCCTCCTCTGGTGCAGCAGGAAGCTCACTCCAGGCTTGGTTCAGCTCCTGGTGCTGAGCGTGCCTCCGGATGTGCAGCATGCTGGGAGCCCAATGGGCGCGTTCACGAGCTTGGTGGCGGCGACGCGTCGTGACGTCCCCACGGCCACGTCCATTTATTTATTTATCATTAAAAAAAAAAATCTAACCAGTTCTTCTGTTATTTTTGTCTCTTCGCACAGCTCCTCCACACCCCCAGCCCCGGACCTCCCCTCTCCATGAAGGAGAGTCCGGGGGCTGATGCTGCTCCTCCGGGATGCTCTACATCTCCACCAGCATCACCAGCTGCGTTGTCTCCAACTGCTCCAACAGCTCATTTGTCCAAAATCATATACGGCGTCCAAGGCCCGCCCCCTCGTGAGTCAGTGAGGTAACAATGTTCCCACCCTCTGAGCTTTCTTCTTATTATGCAAGAAGGACGATGTCATTTTAATACCGAGCCATTGGCTGCGCCTCTCACGCCCCCCATCAGACGCACGTAGAAGTGCACAGTGCACATTCCCATATACAGCACTACAATCAATTGCATTTCAGCACGTTTGACTTTGACATTCTGCTCACACCTCACCCTTTAAAAAGTCTTTCCTTTTATGGAAATCCACAAACTTTATTCACTAAACGTGCTATAAAAAAACAAAATTGTCACATATGAACACCAGCAAGTTTGTTTGTTTTGGGAAAGTAATGTGACTAATGTATTTTTTCATACTAATATACACCTTAACTTCCTAATAGTTCATGGTTATTGTGGTCTGATGCTGCTCTTCACACTGTGCTACTGATTTAAACTGCAGATACAGAGCAGCTAAACTTAAGCAAAAACAGTTGAAATACTATGTGACTTCCCTCTGATTGACTTCAGATATAGTTTTACACTATAGTTTTTTTTTAAATTAGCTCACATGGCTTCTCACCTATTTCAGAGTATACGTACGTCTAAATATTTGTACCCTGCAGCTGAAGACAAACTTGAGAGGTTCTCTGGCTCGACTGATTATCATGATAATTGCAGAAGGAATCTTTCGAATGTGCTTCAAGAGGGAGCAGCTTCCTTATTGTGTCGGGCCTCAGTCTGTCTACATGCGTGTAAAGCCTAGACATGTTCATCATTTGCATTAAACAAAGCTAACTCAGTCGTGTTGATCCGTCTAGACTAGTGTGGAAATGCCTTCACTGACTCAGACACCTCAGGAGTTTGTGAATGGACAACAGTTAGGCTCATGTCTCAAGTCTGGGACTTTTTTTTTTTTAGTAAACTAATTTTGAAGGTTTAATGACCAATTATAAAAAGCCTCTAGGTCTGACTTTGCAGCGTTTTGACGCATCTTGATGTAAGTGACTACATTATAAACAAGGAAAAAATAGACTAAAGTTCAATTATGAGCAGGAGCTGGAGGCTGAACAGCCTCAATATATTTGGAATTGTCCTTGACAGACTGGGATGGCTGCTTTTTGAGATTGCCAGTAAAAACGTGGGGTTATTTTTGCATACGGTCCAATATGACAGTAGGGTAATTATACTATCACTGCAACCCTCTACAACAAAAGAACAGTTTCCTTAATTTTACCACCAAATTTAATTCAGCAAACACACAATATGACAGTAGGGTAATTATAGAAGACAATGCTAATGTTGCTCATGCCATTAGCAGGCAAGCTGCACTGCTGCTGCTGCTTCCTCCTCTACGTCTTTCTCTTCTCCTTCCTCCTCTTCTTCTCCTCCTCCTCCTGTTCTATCCTCTGCCTGTCTGATATATTAGTACATGTTAAAAACCTTCTCAACAAGGATTATTTTGCAAGGAGCAATTCAAAGAGCGACAAAATGATCACCAGATCATGGCCACCTCCAAAAAGCAGACAGCCCTAATGTCCGTGTGGTCCTTGGACAGTTTGGTTTGCTTGGGCTTTATGGATACAGACTGGGCCTGGGTTTACAGAGAGCACGCTGTGCGGGCCACATATTTCCCACATATGGAATACTGTCAGTGGTAAAATAACACGTAGAGGAGAATCAAACACCCAAAGTGTTAAAGTAACACAGAAGGAGTTACATGTCACACTTTCAACGTGTCAAAACGGCTCTTGTTTATTACAATATTCAACATTTCTGTAAATTGGCTCATACAGTGGATAAGAACAGAAGTGTTCACTTTCTTTAATAGCGAAGCCAGTGTGTTACAGTGCATTCATGCCTAACATGGATGCATGTTTGTGTACTTTTACTGAAACTGCTGTATTCAAACATTCAGAGTTTGTATGTCAGTCCAGTCACAAGACAAATGTTTGACATATTTAGTTTGATTGCACTTTGCACTACAGGGGGCGGCAGATGCCTGTAGAGAACAAAGGAGGCGTATACTCTGGTGGTTACCAGTAGTAGTTCATTGTCTTGTTGTATATTATATAGGTGTAGCCTATGGTCAGTCGATGTTCACGATTGCACCTTTAAATCTCACCCCGGCTGTCGCTGAGAGCGCCCCCTGATCCTCTGACGTGCAACAGCATATACTGTATGTCCCCACATTTCAGTAGCTGTTATATTTCATAAGATAGAGAAACCAATGAGGGGGGAGGGAGGGACGTGTCCTATCAGCTGATATGAATCATTGTTTGTAACATTTATTTAAAGTTTTAACTCAGTTTTAACTCATAGCTTGCAAAATCCACTTAATATTGCCAGTTTAATTTGAATATTTTTTTACAGTCAAGTACTCGCCATTTGAAACTGTGCTGCATCCAACACTTATATGTTATAAGATAATAGATAAGATGAGATTTTATTAACCCTCCGGCTGGTATATTTGGAGCCAAAAGACAGCAACCACTTGGCTCGGAGAAATTTGAGTGTACTTTTAATTATAAGGACATTAAGGACAATATAAACAAAAGCATAAGAGGAATAAACAGCTGTAATATAAAGTGAAGCACACTGCACAGTTAAAGTAGACTTAAAATATATATTAGACCCATGTTTAGGTTGATATTTATTTAACTTTATTGACCAGTGGTTTTGACTGAAGTTTAACCCAGGGGTACTTTCATGATTTATTTGCCCTGGGGTACTAAAATGCCTCCAGTCGGCCCTGCTCTATAGGCTCTACACTACAGTATTCTATAGCATGAATGGCCTGCATCACTGCTGTAACCGGGGCCGTGAGAAGCAGACAGTCTTCCGGCTGCCGGGTCACAGTCTGTCACAGAGCCGTCGACAGCCAGTCAACCTCCCTCAGCATCGCTCCATTGTTTTACTGCTGCCAGTCCAGACACCGTCCAACCCTGCAGCGCTCCACTGCACACAGCGCGCCAAAAAAAAAAAAAAAGCAGCTTTTAACACACCAGCCAGCATCGTGCACGTGTTTCCAAATCATTCTCCGCTGCAAAAAGTTATACTTTAGCCCGACCTCCAGGATTCAGATTCTTTGTGTGTGTCTGTGTGTGTTGGCACGACCAATTTCCCCCCCGCGTCGCGCCAATATTCAAATGTAGACTTTATGACTTTATGTGTGAAGTTTTTTGAACATATTTGCTCCGATTATTAGTCAGGAAATACGCAAATTCGTAAAAGTTCGTAAAGTTTGAATTCATGTTAATTGAAAACCTCTGGGTGAACTTAAAATAAATGTGTCATTGGAGGGAAATATCTCTGTCTATATTTTTAGGAAAACAAAATTTAAATATCAGTAACTTGTCTGAATTCAACATATTTTTAGAAGTAGTATTTCATACACAGAGGGATGTATTCTTAAGTTGTACTCAACTTAAAAATTGTCATCATCCTCTATGAAACAGTAAGTGATTTATAATATACTTTCAAATTCTAAGGCTATTGGGCTCCTGAGTTACAAACGCAACTTCTCGTCTTCACTATTCAGTGTTTGTTTAATGTGCATCAAGTTAGTGATAATATATGACCGTTTCTCACGGTTTATTTCTGCACTACACAGCAACTTCGTATTTGCCAAAGTGGGAGAGATAAATAAAATGTCATTAAAAAGACGATAAACGTCATAGACTCTGCTGTCTTTTAGTCACGTGAGCTCAAATAAAGAGCTAATCATAAAAGAGGTTAGAAAAAGGTTTGCAAACATGGTTTTCACTGCAGATTCCTGCTCACGATAGTAACTACTTTAAATAAACTCTTACATTTATTATATCCACGGTTTTCTGAAAAATAGGTTGAATTAATCTGCACTGTCTGATTACAGAAGCTAACACTAAATAAAAATAAAATAAACATCGCAGGTTTTTTCAACCAATGCAGAATGTATTAAATCATTCTATTCTGGTTTTATTGTATATTTCTTTTTTTAAATCGAGCTGCAGGTCATATTTATGTATCCACAGGGCATTTCACAGACCTTTAAATGCATATATTCTTTATTTTATTTCACAGTATTATTTGAACAGATTATTTAGGCGTATCCGTTTAGATGTTTCGTATTTACGAAGAACATTTCCAGACTTCTTCAACTACGGTATTTATATTGCCAGAAGTAGAATCCTGAACTGCATAATGTGCTCTATAAATCTGACAGGTACTTTAGGTAGCTGAGCAAATTATTGATTATTTCCCGTCGCAATTCTCCTGTTAAATGTAGCGAGGTACTTTGGGTAATTTAAGGCAAAATATCATGACATTGCAACGAGGAAATTATGTTTTATGCGTTTATTTGTTGCTACGTATATATTTCCGTAGTAAATATTAGACAGGCCTAAGAATCATCTGTAATATTAATTTCACTGTCTCTGGTGATTGGTCTGCATTTAACACTTGTTTTTGTCTTCACTGATTTAACTGCCTTACTCATAAAACATCAACGTACCTTGATTTTTCTTTTCCTGGTATACGGCTGCCATCGTGTGGTCAATATTTGAACTACATGCTGTTTTTTGTTTTAACAATTCATTTCTAACTCGCTGCTGCCCCCATGTGGTCATTTATAGACCACCAATTGTCATGTGTAAAAGCTATAAGTCATTGAAATAGTGTTAATTCTTGTTGATTCTGTTTTTGTTTGTTTTATAATATATTTGTTGGCTTTTACTTTGTTCAGAAGTCGCTGGCACACGTTCTTACAGCCGTGACTAATCCTGACCGTCTTAAATGGTTCACAAGTCATTTGATCCTCCTGCAGAATCTGACATGCTCACAGACGATTTGGTTCTTCAGCTGCCCATATCAGTCAGAGTGGGATTTGTTTTCACTTCCCCTGAAAATGAAAAAAGTACCTGCAGTTCAATGTCTAAGGACTGTGACTGGAGAGAAATAGTCTTAAATAGATTCAATGGTCTAGTGGAAAAACTCACCAAATAATTTTGTAAAATGTTTTGCCAGCATATAGTAAGTGTGTCATTTGTAGTCAAATCAAA